TTTTTCTCATCCCCAACAAAAGATCGCCTGAACAAAGATATCAACACCATTTATCACCACTTTTTCCTATAACCAAAAAAATCGTCCCTCACACACAGAATACAAAAAAAACCTCCTTTTTCCCGACACATGGATTCCTTTCTATGCAGCTCTAGGACGAGAATAAGGATTTTGCCCCTTGAATTGAATTAAGGAGGGATATAAAATGTAACCCATCCCTCCATAAAAAAAACTAAAAAAAAAACTTGGGATGGGATCATCTTGGATCGTGGTGAAAAGAAGGTCCAGCTTTTTGGGTTCTGTGACGATTTGTAATTTTCCATACTCGATAAAAAGGGAGAGAGAGAGATGGGGAATCGAGAGATTAAAATGTGAGGGAGAGAGAAAGAGTTAAAATTGAGGGCAAAGGCGTCACGCGGATGACATCGCGTTCGATACGCGTCGCGACGCCGATTATTATGTTGTATTATCAGATTTGAAACGCGCTGACGCGTCAATGTCGACTCTAATAATAATGTCGAGTGCATTTCGATGAGGTTTTTATCATCAAAATGAATTAAAATCAAAAGCTCGGTCGTCTTGTTTTTCCCTAAAACAAACAAAAAAAAACAAAAAAAGGGAAGTGATGATAAAAAAGGAAAAAGGTAAAAAGAGGGAGTAAAAAACAAATAAAAAAGGGATTGTGACTTGATTTAGTAACATCACAAAAGTAAGTTGAACGAATGGTTATTATTCAACGTAAAAAGGCGCGTTTGTGTCGTCGTCGAGTACATTTTTAGGTCAAGTTAAAGGAAAGAATGGAGTTGTTTTTAAAATTTTCGACGAAGAGCTAAGGAAAGTAAAAAAAATTCTAGTTGTAATTTGTGATTTAAAAAGAAAGATAGAAAGTAATCTTAAATTATAAAGTTGACGTAAACTGCCTGGGATGCTATACTATTTCCATAGAAATTACCCTTCACCGTGCATACAATAAAATGCAAATTTGTAACAGTCTCTCCAGATGGTACTTAATCCCAACCTAAAATCAAGTTATTTGAAACGACATATTTCTAATTATTAGATTAAAATGAGGAAGGGAGTATCCGTTATAGCCAAAAGAATAATTTTAATGCACACAAATTCTGACAACCATCCACGCCGTTTCGTATAGTTTACGTGTAGGTATTTATATTTATACCCAAGGATGGTAAAATGCAAGAGGAGTGCTATATCCCGGGAATAGGTGCACAGTTCAAAAACCTGTTCGTGACGTCAACGCTGAATAACTATTAAAACTAGAGTTAACACTGGACCTAGAAGTTTCTTCTAGTTTCTAAGAAAACCTTTTAGTTCAATAAAAATATTCAACATAGTAATATTTAAAGCTAAGTAGCACAACCTAGCACCATCACTAGAACTAACATTAGACTTAAAACTAGATCCCCAGGAATCATTTCTAATACATAGTTATAATTCATTAAGTAGTTAGACCAACTCAGCATGACCTAAAAGCAAAAATGAAGCAATTAACTTACGTCTAATAGTATGACAGATTATAAGTCAAAAACTAAAAGAAATAAAAGAAAACTTCTTGCATCAAAAGCATTCCACATTAACCTAGAAAGCATTTCTAATACACAATTATAACTCATTGAGCAGTTAAACCAACTCAGCCTCACCTAAAAGCAAAAAGGTACCAATTAACGTATATCTAATAGTATGACAGGTTATAAGTAGAGCTCGGATTTTTATGCAGTCAAATTATAGGAAATATGCATATAAATATGCAAGCTTTTTATTCACAATATGCAAAAAATATGTAAAAAATATGCAAAAAATATGCAAAAATATGTGGAAATATGCAAACATATACCTTTCTTATAGTTGTTATCAATCTATTTCTGTCACATTTTTGTATATGTTTTGCACTTTTCACATGTTCTATTTGGGACTTCCTCTCACACGTTATCTTAAAAAAGAATAATTAAAAAAGTTAGCCATAGATACTCTAACAGATTAAAAATTTAATTCTCAGACTATAAAACATTCGTATTTTTCATTGTCGATTGTCTAGAAACATATGTAAAAACATATTCCAAGAAGATGGGACATCAAATTTATTTAGTTTTAATTTAACAGTTTTCCATTTTTTAACTCCTAGTCTAAACGTCTATGAGAAATACAATTTCGGAACAAACCATTGGCATCTTTGGCTAAAAGGATACAAATATTATCTTCTTCAGCTGCTATGACCGAAAACAGAAACAATCTTACAGTTCATACAAACGTCTGGTATGGAAGATCAGTATATTCGTATATTAAACTATACCGATTGGTAACTTTAATTTTAGGAGATACACCCAACACGGACGTACGTATAAGTATACGTGTGTGTGTATATTCGGTATCGTTAAGTGGGGGATAAACAAGCGTAGGGGTAATGCACAAATTGAATCGTTCATAGCGTTCATAGATTGTTGAGTGGCGAAGTTGGTCGCATCGCTTTGCAGTTAACCCTAGCAAAAAAAACTAAGATGTTGTTTACTGTAGCGGAAAAGGTACAGATTATAAAATGGTTTTATGGTGGCAATTCTGTAGCCCAAATAATTAATTTGTTTCCTGTGGCCTATGAAAACAGATCAATTCCTAGTCGCGGAACAATTTCAAATATTATTAAAAACTTTGAGCGACATGGATGTGTGTCTCCACAGAAACACAAATTACGAAGGGGTAAAAGAGATGAGTTACGTGATACGATGATATGTGCTGATGTTGAACGCAATAAAAATCAGTCAAGCAGACAAGTTGCGGAGACGTTTGCTATCAGCCATGTTGCCGTCCTAAAAACATTAAAGAAACACGGGTACAGGTCGTACAAGGTACAAAAAAGTCAGGAACTCTGCGAGAACGATAATATTACAAGGGCGGAATTTTGCTTTACTATGATGGAAATGGCCAACGGATGAATCTACATTTCCTTTGCATGGTCGGCATAATCCCAGCGTTGCTCGATATTGGAGTCGTGACAATGAACACAAAGTTTATGTGGCTCGTACACAATATCCCCAAAAATTAAATGTTTGGGCTGGCTTAGTAGGTGACCATATTATCGGTCCTTTTTTCATAGAAGGAAATTTAAATGGTCATAAGTATTTAAACATTTTGCAAAATGACGTAATCCCATCGCTTCAACAATTAGACAATGTTCAATTTGGAAGTATCTGGTTCCAACAACAGCCGGCAAGTTAAAGAGTGTCTTAACGCACAATTTCCAAATCGTGTAATATCTATGTGCGGAACGTTAACTTGGCCGCCTAGATCACCAGATTTAGCCCCCAATGATTTTTTTCTATGGGGATATTTAAAATCGAAAATTTATGGTTTTGATGAAGAAAGGACAACCAATCTGGATGGATAACTCTAGGAAATGAACTGAAACAAGGCGATGTGACTTCTGCAAAGCTATTCAATGCAGTATTAGAAACAATGTTCGTAGAAGAAGAATGGAAAGACCTGGGAATAAGAATAAATGGGCAATGGTTAAACAGGCTAAAATTTACAGATAACATAGTACTTACAGGAAAAAACGAAATAGAAGTAAGGGAAATGCTGAAAACAATATCGAGAAGAGGGAAGCAAACTGGTAATAATTTGTCTTGCTCATAAATAAATATGAGCAAGACAAAATCAATGTACATAAATTGTGAACAAAAAAAATAAAATAATTGTTAATGGAAAGGAAATCGACAAAGTAGAGCATTTCGTATATCTAGGACAAAAGATTACAACTAAAAACACAGGAGAAGAAAAATACGGAGAATGGCAATGGGATGGCAAATGTTTAACAAATACAAAAATATATGGAAATCAAACAGAAATGGAGAAAAAGAAAAAAATGTGGGAAATGTCTGTCCTCCCTGTCATGATTTATGGATGCGAGACATGTATATTAACAAACAAAATAATTAAAAAGATTAGGGTAACAGCAAGGGCAATGCATAGAAGGATGATTGGCATTACGAAGAAAGGTAAAAAAACCAAAAGAATGGATAAGGGAAAAGTCAAACATCGAGGATATTGGAAGAATAGCATTGGATCGAAAATGGAATTGGGCGGGTCATATTATCAGAGTACAAGATGAGAGATGGACCAAGAAAATCTTAGAATAGACAAAAAGAGAAGAAAAGGAAGACCAATTAATTTGTTAAATTTTTGATTTTTGATATTAATTTGCTAAAGTATAATTTTGATTACTTAAATTTAGATTTTGTTCTGCTAAATTTTGATTTTGTTCTGTTAAATTTTGATTTTGATTTGTTAAATTGTAAAAAGTTTATAAGAGTTGTTTCTTTTGTTGGTGGCAATAAATGGCTATCTATCTATCAATCTATCTTTGGCTAAAACGCTACGACATAATTTAAAAAAAAAATACTTACAACTTTGGCACAACTTTTACAAAATAATTCCTCATTATTTAAATTTAGTTCGGGATAACTTTTTATACACTGGAACACAAGACACGATATCACTTTAGGCATTGTAGTTCACTCACACTCAACACAGCCACAGTAACTATTGTTGAGGATTTCCTTAAACTTAAACTCAACAGCGCTAGGGATTCCCTGCATGTTTCTGTGAATCGTTGTAAACAAGAAACCAACCCGCAACCAAAAATATCATATATTGTGCTTTAAACTAAAAGGTATGATCGCATATTTAAAAATCGCGCAGTCATTATATTTATTTTATTAAGCAACAAGAAACAAATCTAGTAAAGTGACAAAATATGCGAAAATATGCAGTAAAATGCCAATTTATGCAACAATCAAAAAAATTGTACAAATATGCAAAATATGCAATTTTTTATTGTACCACCTGCGTTATTTTTATGTATTTCGCCCAGAAACTAATTTTGAAAAAAATATTCCAGAAAATAAAGAAGATACATTTTGCATGAAATCCGAGCCCTAGTTATAAGTCAAAAACTAAAAGCGATAGAAGAAAGCTTTTTGTACCAAAAACATTCCACATTAGCCCAGGAAGCATTTCTAATACACACTTATAACTCAATGAGCAGTTAGAGCAACTGAGCATGACCTCAAAGGAAAAATGTAGTAATTAACGTATGTCTAATAGGATAACAGGTTATAAGTCAAAAGCTAAAAGAGATAGAAGAAAACCTTTTGTACCAAAAACATTCCACATTAACCCAGGAAGCATTTCTAATACACAGTTATAACTCATTGAGCAGTTAGACCAACTCAACATGACCTAAAAGCAAAAATGAAGCAATTAACAAATGTCTAATAGTATGATAGGTTATAAGTCAAGAACTAAAAGAGATAGAAGAAAACTTCTTGTACCAAAAACATTCCACATTAACCCAGGAAACATTTCTAATACACAGTTATAACTCATTGAGCAGTTAGACCAACTCAGCATGACCTAAAAGCAAAAATGAAGCAATTAACGAATATCTAATAGTATGATAGGTGATAAGTCAAAACCTAAAAGCGATAAAAGAAAGCTTCTTGTACCAAAAATATATCCACATCAACCCAGGAAGCATTTCTAATACACATTTATAACTCATTGAGCAGTTAAACCAACTCAGCATGACCTAAAAGCAGAAAGGTAGCAATTAACGTATATATAGTATGACAGGTTATAAGTCAAAAACTAAAAGAGATAGATGAAAACGTTTTATACCAAAAACATTCCACATTAACCCAGGAAGCATTTCCAATACACAGTTATATCTCATTGAGCAGTTAAACCAACTCAGCTTGACCTAAAAGCAAAAATGTACCAATTAACGTATATCTAATAGTATGTATAACAGGTTATAAGTCAAAAACGCAAAAGAGATAGAAGAAAACTTCTTGTACCAAAAACATTCCACATTAATCCATGAAGCATTTCTAATACACAGTTATGACTCATTGCGCAGTTAGACCAACTCAGCATGACGTAAAAGCAAAAATGAAGTAATTAACGAATATCTAATAGTATGATAGGTGATAAATCAAGAACTAAAAGAGATAGAAGAAAACTTCTTGTACCAAAAACATTCCACATTAACCTAAGAAACATTTCTAACACACAGTTATAACTCATTGAGCAGTTAGACCAACTCAGCATGACCTAAAAGCAAAAATGAAGCAATTAGCGTATATCTAATATTATAACAGGTTATAAATCAAAAACTAAAAGAGATAGAAAAAAACTTTTTGTACCAAAAACATTCCACATTAACCCAGAAAACATTTCTAATACACATTTATAACTCATTGAGCAGTTAAACCAACTCAGCGTGACCTAAAAGCAAAAATTTAGCAATTAACGTATATCTAATAGTATGTATAACAGGTTATAAGTCAAAAACTAAAAGAGATAGAAGAAAACTTTTTGTACCAAAAACATTCTACATTAACCGAGGAAGCATTTCTAATAGACAGTTATAATTCATTGAGCTGTTAAACCAACTCATCATAACCTAAAAACAAAAATGTACCAATTAACGTATATCTAACAGTATGACAGGCTATAAGTCAAAAACTAAAAGAGATAGAAGAAAACTTTTTGTACCAAAAACGTTCCACATTGACCGAGAAAACATTTCTAATACACAGTTATAACTCATTGAGCAGTTAGATCAACTGAGCATGACCTAGAGCAAAAATGAAGCAATTAACGTACATCAAATAGTATGACAGGTTATGAGTCAAAAATTAAAAGAGATAGAAAAAAAATTTTTATACCAAAAACATTCCAGATTAACCCAGGAAGCATTTCTAATACACATTTATAACTCATTGAGCACTTAAACCAACTCAGCATGACCTAAAGCAAAAATGTAGCAATTAACGTATATCTAATAGTAGCAGAAAACTTTTTGTACCAAGTATTGCACAGCATCACTCGAACTAATACTAGACCTCGAACTAGAATCATTCGGTTTAGCCATACGTCTCTCAAGACGGCTAACCCGAATGTTTCTAGTTCTAGGTCTAGTGTTAGTTCTACTTTTAGTTTAAGAAAAATATTCAACAACCTAACACTGAATTACAATTAAAACTAGAACTAATATTAGACTTAAAACTAGAAAAATTCGGTTCATCAATACGTAAATATACTGATCAATATACTACAAAACGTTTATTGAAAGGAAAATTCGACATTTCAACGATTTCTTGTGCTTTTTCACGAAGGTCGTTTCCACACGACGGAGATATTTATTGCCCCTTTTAGAAGCCCTTTTTCTTATTTTGCTTTTATTTCAAGTTTCCCCCCAAAAAGTCACGAAGTAGCGGTTCAGAAATAGAATTTCTCGTTCTTTTCTTTCTTTATTACGAGTTTCGTTACATTTAACACAAAAATTAGAACGACTTATTCAAAAATTTAAAAAAAAAGGGATTTTATTCCCGTAATCTCATAATTTTTTTTTTGTTTTTGATGTAAACCAAAAAGTTATCTTAAAGTGTTAATTTCAAATAGATAACTTTTCGGTGATGAGGAAGTCTCTCTTTGCAAGTTGTGGAAAACTTTTCCCAAGTTGCCAATTAGGGGGCGCGCTACTCGGCGTTTTGTTGAGCTTGAATCCTATTAAAACCGTTGAAGGTGTTCGTTTCGTTGCACCTGCAAAACCGTTTCCCTAGTTTTAACAATGAAGCGAGGTAAAATTACAATTCGCACTGAAAGCATGCTTTTCGCCAACAGATCATATTTGATTCGAAACCTCAAAATTAAGTTTATAACACTCTGATCTATTTATTGTTTTTTTGTTACGCGACTTTTCGTGAAAAACTATTTTTTTGCTTGTATTATGAGTTCGACGATAAACCCTTCAGTCGTGCGGATTAATTGAGTTTTAAAATCGGATTATTTTTGAGGGATTCGACACTAATCGCATCGATTTTTGAATACTAACTATTCCGGTGAAAATTGAAGTTCTCTAATTCTGAAATAATCACTCTATTTTTGTTTATGAAATTGCTCGAAGTTTAATTTAGCTTTGTAAGAAAATCCAACCTCCAATGCGCGATAATTAAATGAGGTAAAGAGAGAAGACTTGCTAATAACACTAGGATGTAGTTCAGAAGTCATTACATTGACTTATGCTGATAATTTAAGTAGTTAATCCATGATCATGGAACAAATAAATGTTAATTTGGTCGATACAGAAAGGCTCTCTTCAACTATGATAGGTTATAAGTCAAAAATTAAAAGAGATAGAAGAAAACTTCTCGTACCAAAAACATTCCACATTAACCCAGGAAACATTTCTAATGCACAGTTATAACTCATTGAGCAGTTAGACCAGCTCAGCATGACTTAAAAGCAAAAATGAAGCAATTAACGAATGTCTAATAGTATGATAGGTTATAAGTATAGAACTAAACGAGATAGAATAAAACTTCTTGTACCAAAAACATTCCGCATTAACCCACAAAACATTTCTAATACACAGTTATAACTCATTGAGCAGTTAGACCAACTACGCCTGACCTAAAAGCAAAAATGAGGCAATTAACGTACATCTAATAGTATGATAGGTTATAAGTCAAGAAGTAAAAGAGATAGAAGAAAACTTCTTGTACCAAAAACGTTCCACAATAACCCAGGAAACATTTCTAATACACAGTTATAACTCATTGAGCTGTTAGACCAACTCAGCATGACCTAAAAGCAAAAATGAAGCAATTAACGCATATCTAATCATATGATAGGTTATAAGTCAAGAACTAAAAGAGATAGAAGAAAACTTCTTGTACCAAAAACATTCCACATTAACCCAGGAAGCATTTCTAATGCACAGTTATACCTCATTGATCAGTTAGACCAACTCAGCATGACCTAAAAACAAAAATGAAGCAATTAACGAATATCTAATAGTATGATAGGTTATAAGTCAAGAACTAAAAGAGATAGAAGAAAACTTCTTGTACCAAAAACATTCCACATTAATCCATGAAGCATTTTTAATACACAGTTATGAGTCATTGGGCAGTTAGACCAACTCAGCATGACCTAAAAGCAAAAATGAAGCAATTAACGAATGTCTAATAGTATGATAGGTTAAGTCAAGAACTAAAAGAGATAGAAGAAAACTTCGTGTACCAAAAACATTCCACATTAACCCAGAAAACATTTCTAATACACAGTTACAACTCATTGAGCAGTTAAACCAACTCAGCATGACCTAAAAGCAAAAATGAAGCAATTAACGAATATCTAATAGTATGATAGGTGATAAGTCCAGAACTAAAAGAGATAGAAGAAAACTTCTTGTAGCAAAAACATTCCACATTAACCCAGGAAACATTTCTAATACACAGTTACAACTCATTGAGCAGTTAGACCAACTACGCCTGACCTAAAAGCAAAAATGAAGCAATTAACGAATATCTAATAGTATGATAGGTTATAAGTCAAGAACTAAAAGAGATAGAAGAAAACTTTTTGTATCAAAAATATTCCACATTAACCCAGGAAGCATTTCTAATGCACAGTTATAACTCATTGAGCAGTTAGACCAACTCAGCATGACCTAAAAGCAAAAATGAAGTAATTAACGAATATCTAATAGTATGATAGGTTATAAGTCAAGAACTAAAAGAGATAGCACAAAACTTTTTGTATCAAAAATATTCCATATTAGCCCAGAAAGCATTTCTAATATACAGTTATAATTCATTGAGCAGTTAGACCAACTCAGCATGACCTATAAGCAAAAAATGAAGCAATTAACGAATGTCTAATAGTTTGATAGGTTATAAGTCAAGAACTAAAAGAGATAGAAGAAAACTTTTTTTACCAAAAACATTCCACATTAATCCAGAAAGCATTTCTAATGCACAGTTATAACTCATTGAGCAGTTAAACCAACTCAGCATGATCTAAAAGCAAAAGTGAAGCAATTAACGTATATCTAATAGTATGATAGGTTATAAGTCAAGAACTAAAAGAGATAGAAGAAAACTTTTTGTATCAAAAATATTCCACATTAACCCAGGAAGCATTTCTAATGCACAGTTATAACTCATTGAGCAGTTAGACCAACTCAGCATGACCTAAAAGCAAAAATGAAGCAATTAACGCACATCTAATAACTCAAAAACATCATCTAACAATAACTCAAAAACTAAAAGGAATAGAAGAAAACTTTTTGTATCAAAAACATTCCACATTAACCTAGGAAATATTTCTAAAGCACAATTATAACCCATCAAGCAGTTCTACCAACCAGCTTAACCTAAAACAAAAATGTAGTAATTTAATTTAATTATATCTAACGGCATAACAGGTTATAAGTCAAAAATTAAAAGAGATAGAAGAAAATTTTCTGTACCAAAAGCATTCCACATTAACCCAGGAAGTATTTCCAATACATAATTAAGCATTTTTGTAAATCCAGCTTAACATACAAATAAAAATGCTGTAATTCACGTTTCATATAAAAAGTTATTTCTTTAAATCATTCTTATGGTAGAGCAATTTAATCATAAAACCCCCTAATTTCTAACCCTTAATCTACCCTCTAACAAGATATATCTTAATCTTGTCTTAGAAAGTTCGAAAAAAAATCGGAAAACCTGACATAGACCAACGACACATTCCCGAAAACGTTTACTTTTATCATCCTCTTCAGACGACGCGACGGGAACGATAAAGAGATCCCTTGGGAAGTTGAAATCCCTTCTTTCTTATACGGGGGTGGTATATAAAACCAAAACCCGCGTTCGTCGGTTTTCCTCGTAAAACGATATCACCATCGTTTTGATTTTTACGTTTATCCAGTAGCACAAAATAGTGTAGAATAAAAAAAAAATAATTTCCTCTGTTTATTGGACGTCTTTGTAGACACATTAAACCGAGTAAATCGTTGTCTTTGTGTAAAACTTGCTAAATCGTCCTTTTTATAGTAAAGACAAGAGATCAAAAACGAAATGGATCCTTTATTAGCCTCAATTAAAAGGAAAAAAAGGAAATAGGAGTATATTTTTTATATTTTTATTTGGCGCTTATTAAATCAGTCCTTAAAAAGTTAAAATGAAAAATTCGTCCTTTATGGCGAATTTATTTTTTTCTTTCATTTTCAGTGCATTTCCTGGTCGTAAATATTTAATCTTTTTTATTACATTTTGTTTAATTTTTGTCTCGTTGCAGGTTCTGACACACGAAAGAAGATTGAGTGCGAGTGCTTCGAGGACGATGGCGGCGATTTCTTTAGGTTTTATTGTCCTCGTGACTCCGTGGACAATTCAGGAAGTTGTTGCTGCTTGTACCGGATCAAGAGCACCGCAACCGTTAGACTTCTTTGCCACCTGGTTAGCGTTGAGCAACAGTTTTTGGAATCCTTTTTTATACTGGTTATTAAACAATCAATTTCGAAGAGTTGGCAGGGAATTTATTTCAAACAAAGTAAGTTTTACGATCAAATATTAATTAATTAATAAATTATTTTATTTTTTAAAGTTTTTTTGTAAGAAATCCCCATCGAAACCACAACATTTCGTTTCGAATTCAAGTTCATGTCAGATACATCACCAACAAGGTTGCGATTTCGAGAGGCTTTCAGAAAAATATTGGGGGGAAATTTTAGAACGAACATTGTCGGCGACTTCTTTAAACGCTCTCCAAAAGAGCGGAAGTCATCCTAGAATGGACGGTTGCAACGGAATGCAACGAGGCGGAGGTTGCGGTGGTATGCATCGTGAAACCAGGGACATTTCGTTACCGGATTTATGAAAAATCGATAAGACCACTCAAACTTTCGATGTAATCTGCGAGAATCACTTGAGGTAATTCGAATTTAATCATTTTTGACTTTACTTCCTTGCGGATAAAATCGAAAGTTTGTTGATGGTTTTTCGGAAGAATGAAAACATTAAAAAAAATTAAAATTAAATACTTGTAACTTGTAAATTTGCTGTAATAATAATAATTATATTAATGTTGTTTAACTAATTTTTTTATTTTGTATAATCAAATACAAATTATTGTTGTAAAATCGAAAAATATTTTTTGGATCTAAATTGGATTTAAAAATAATAATTAAAAATTAATTAAAATTGTTGGAAAAAGGAAATTAATTTTTTGTATTGGACTTTAAGCAATAATAAATAATATTTAAACATGACATCATTTTTTTTTTACCTTTAAAACCACAACTTTTTGAACTTGTTGGATAATTCATTAACAATTCTATGAATTTATTTACTGTTAGATAAAATTAATTTATTGTTGATGTGTTTAAGTAAATTTCTAAGTAAATCACTGAGAATATGGAAATGTTATGGTATCGATTCAAATCACAACTTTCTTCATTTTTGCGCATTAAATTTATTTCCAATTTGAAATTTGATTTATCCCAACAAAACTACGGATGGGTGTCATGTACCCCAATTAAAATGAACATGCACATTTTACCTGTTATTGAAAATGCATCGCTATCTCAATACATGCACCAATATATTACAATCGCATTAAATATCAAACATTCAAGCTCACTGTTTAATAATCCTCTCTTTAACTAGAACTCGAAATTCGGGGAAATATGAAACATAGTCACGACACTAAAATTAATTTAAATGTTCACCATAACAAAGCTAAGTGTTACACAGAAGTTTTGAAACCAGATATATTTCAGAGAATTGAACACGATATATTAGAGTCATTAATTTTAGGACTTAGTATTACGATTTGTCGAATTAAAGTCTGAATAAACAGAATTAAACATGTTAGATTGAAAGGCATCAATTTTTAATATGTTGTATCTCGTGAACTAAATGAGATATCGGTGCGTGGGAAAAAGCATTTTATAGCAAATTTAATTGATATATGATGTAATGAAAATCATTTATTCAAATCATAAAATTTTTGAGTTACGATTTTTTTAATTAAACCAAGAATATTGATATTACTTTAAAATGGTAGGATCGTAGGATCATTTAAGTAAATATATCTTAAGAACGAATTGAGATATCAGCATGAGATAAAATGTATTTTATAGCGAATTTTATGAGTATTTAATCTGATGAAGGTGATTTCTCCAAATCGTCAAATCTGGGTTTTTCACTTCAATTACACTCATATACAATGATTTGAAAGACATGAATTTTTAACAAGCTGTATCTTAAGAACTAATTAAGATATTGTCGTGAGATAAAAAGCATTTTATAGGAAACTAAATTCACATTCGCAATGTTTAATGTCATATCTTCGTATTTTCAAACTTCAAGGTTACAATTTTTTGAATACAATCATAATCATACACAGAAGATTCAAAGACATCAATCTTTAAAATATTATATCTCTAGAACTAATTGAGTTATGCAATGAAATAAAAAGCATTTTATAGAAAATTTAATGTATATTTAGTACGTTCAAGGTCATTTCTTCAAAACTTTCAATTTCGAGTAAATGTTTCTTTGACTTCAATTATATTTATATGTAATGAGTTGAAAGACATGAATTTTTAACAAGTTATATCTTAAGAACTAATTGAGATATTGTGATGAGATAAAAAGCATTTTGTAGGAAATTTAATTCATAATCGGTATGTTCAATGTCATATCTTCGTATTTTCAAACTTCGAGGTTATGATTTTTTAAATACAAACACAAACATACACAGAAGATTCAAAAACATCAATCTTTAAAATATTATATCTCAAGAACTAATTAAGTTAATGCAATGAGATAAAAAGCATTTTATAGAAAATTTAATTTATATTTAGTATGTTCAAGGTCATTTCTTCAAAATTTTCAATTTCGAGTAAATGATTTTTTGACTTCAATTACACTCATATATAATGAGTTGAAAGTCATGACTTTTTACCAAGTTATATCTTAAGAACTAATTGAGATATTGTCGCGAGATAAAAAGCATTTTATAGGAAATTTAATTCACATTCGGTATGTTTAATGTCATATTTTCGTATTTTCAGAGTTCGAGGTTACGATTTTTTGAATACAATCACAATCATACACAGAAGATTGAAAGATATCAATCTTTAAAATATTATATCTCAAGAACTAATTGAGTTAATGCAATGAAATAAAAAGCATTTTATAGATAATTTAATTTATATTTAGTAAGTTCAAGGTCATTTCTTCGAAACTTCCAATTTTGAGTAATGTTCTTTTGACTTCAATTACACTCACATACAATGAGTTGAACGACGTGAATTTTTCACAAGTTATATCTAAAGAACTAATTGAGATATTGTTGTGAGATAAAAAGCATTTTATAGGAAATTTAATTCATAATTGGTATGTTTAATGTCACATCTTCGTATTTTCAAACTTCGAGGTTATAATTTTTTGAATGCAATCACAATCATACACACAAGATTTAAAGATATCAATATTTAAAATATTATATCTTAAGAACTAATTGAGATATTGTCGTGAAATAAAAAGCATTTTATAGGAAATTTAATTCATAATCAGTATGTTCAATATCATATCTTCGTATTTTCAAACTTCGAGGTTATGATTTTTTAAATACAAACACAAACATACACAGAATATTCAAAAACATCAATCTTTAAAATATTATATCTCAAGAACTAATTAAGTTAATGCAATGAGATAAAAAGCAATTTATAGAAAATTTTGTTTATATTTAGTACGTTCAAGGTCATTTCTTCAAAATTTTCTACTTCGAGTAAATGATTTTTTGACTTCAATTACACTCATATACAATGAGTTGAAAGACACGAATTTTTAACAAGTTATATCTTAAGAACTAATTGAGATATTGTCGTGAGATAAAAAGCATATTATAGGAAATTTAATTCATAATCGGTATGTTTAATATCATATCTTCGTAGTTTTAAACTTCGAGGTTATGATTTTTTGAACACAATCACAATCATACACAGAAGATTCAAAGACATCGATCTTTAAAATATTATATCTCAAGAACTAATTGAGTTAATGCAATGAGATAAAAAGCAATTTTTAGGAAATTTAATTTATATTTAGTACGTTCAAGGTCATTTCTTCAAAAATTTCCAACTTCGAGTAAATGATTTTTTGACTTCAATTACACTCATATACAATGAGTTGAAAGACATGAATTTTTAACAAGTTATATCTTAAGAACTAATTGAGATATTGTCGTGAGATAAAAAGAATTTTATAGGAAATTTAATTCANTTCAAACTTCGAGGTTATGATTTTTTAAATACAAACACAAACATACACAGAATATTCAAAAACATCAATCTTTAAAATATTATATCTCAAGAACTAATTAAGTTAATGCAATGAGATAAAAAGCATTTTATAGAAAATTTAATTTATATTTAGTACGTTCAAGGTCATTTCTTCGAAACTTCCAGTTTCGAGTAATGTTTTTTTTTGACTTCAATTACACTCATATACAATGAGTTGAACGACTTGAATTTTTCACAAGATATATCTTAAGAACTAATTGAGATATTCTCGTGAGATAAAAAGCATTTTATAGGAAATTTAATTCATAATTGGTATGTTTAATGTCATATCTTCGTATTTTCAAACTTCGAGGTTATGATTTTTTGAATGCAATCACAATCATACACACAAGATTTAAAGATATCAATCTTTAAAATATTATATCTCAAGAACTAATTGAGTTAATGTAATGAAATAAAAAGCAATTTATAGAAAATTTAATTAATATTTAGTACATTCGAGGTCATTTCTTCAAAATCTCCAATTGCGAGTAAATGTTTTTTTGACTCCAATTACACTCATACACATTGAGTTGAAAGACATGAATTTTTAACAAGTTATATCTTAAGAACTAATTGAGATATTGTCGTGAGATAAAAAGAATTTTATAGGAAATTTAATTCATAATCAGTATGTTTTATGTCATATCTTCGTATTTTCAAACTTCGGGGTTATGACTTTTTGAATACAATCACAATCATAGACAGAACATTCAAGTACTTCAATTTTTAAAGTATTATATCTCAAGAACTAATTGAGATAATGCAATGAGATAAAAAGCAATTTATAGAAAATTTAATTCATAATTGGTATGTTTAATGTCATATCTTCGTATTTTCAAACTTCGAGGTTATGATTTTTTGAGTGCAATCACAATCATACACACACGATTTAAAGACATCAATATTTAAAATATTATATCTCAAGAACTAATTGAGATATCGTCGTGAGATAAAAAGCATTTTATAGAAAATTTAATTCATAATCGGTATGTTTAATATCATATCTTCGTATATTCAATCTTCGAGGTTATAATTTTTTGAATACAATCACAATTATACACAAATGATTCAAAGATATCAATTTTTGAAATATTATATCTTAAGAACTAATTGAGATATTGTCGTGAGATAAAAAGCATTTTATAAGAAATTTATTTCATAATTGGTATGTTTAATGTCATATCTTCGTATTTTCAAACTTCGAGCTTATTATTTTTTAAATAAAATTACATATATTATCATACACAGAAGATTCAAAGATATCAATCTTTAAAATATTATATCTCAAGAACTAATTGAGTTAATGTAATGAGATAAAAAGCATTTTATAGAAAATTTAATTTATGTTTAGTACGTTCAAGGTCATTTCTTCATAATTTCCAACTTCGAGTACATGATTTTTTGACTACAAGTGCACTCATATGCATTAAGTTGAAAAACATGAATTTTTAAGAAGTTATATCTTAAGAACTAATTGAGATATTGTCGTGAGATAAAAAGCATTTTATAGGAAATTAAATTCTTAATCGATATGTTGTAATATCATATCTTCGTATTTTCAAACTTCGAGATTATGATTTTTTGAATACAATCACAATCATACACAGAAGATTCAAGGACATGAATTTTCAACAAATTATATCTCCAGTACTAATTGAGATAATGCCATGATATAAAAAGCATTTTAAAAGAAATTTAATTCATATTTAATATATTCAAGACCATTTTTCAAATTTTCAAATTCCGAAGAAATATTTTTTTTGTTTCAACCAGATCACTAGATATTATGTTGAAAAAGAACAACTTTTATGGAATCATATCTCACGAACGAATTGAGATATCAGCATGAAATAAAAAGCATTTGAAAGCAAATTTAATTAGTATTTAATTTGTTCAAGGTCATTTCTTCAATTCATCAAATTTTGGAGTTACGTTATTTTGAGTTAAACAGAGTCTTAAAGATAGTAGGATCTAAAATATTAATTTTTGTTTAATTATTACATTAAAAGTCTTGGTTAATGGATTTAGGGATTCTTTTAGGGATGAGTTGTGATGGTTTTAGGGATTTTATCAACATACTTGTCTCTTTAGTTTTAGAAGTGGTCTAGAACTCAAAATGTCTCGGTAATTAATGGGGACGACACGCTGTCTTTGTGTTTTCATTTTTATTCTTAACCCATTTAGTCCCACGTTGCTTTATATTTAAAAAAATTGGTTTTATATCATTTTCCTTGAGATAAGATGGAATGAAAAGTATAGAAATGTACAAAGGCATTTGAAAAAGAAATTATTTTATGAGATATGAGATGGTGCAAAAATGCACCACTGGTAAGATAAATGAACAACAACACAAAAATATTTTGATTATCATTTATTAACTAAGTAATAAATTAGTCATAATTAATAATAATAGGAATACAACATAATACTAACAAATACCAACTTTAGTATGAAGTTTAATATAAAAAATATTTATACTAAAATTGGTGCAAAAACGCACCAATGGGATGAACAGTATAATCATTTATCGCAAAACACTCTTCATGTAAATGAACGCTAAACTTAGTACAAATATATTGACGAATTATGTCTATTTCTAGGGAAATCACCGAATACACGAAATCCGCGACTACACTGTTTTCTGATAATACGAAAGATGATGTAATCCTTATATCTCATCATACATCCCAATGGTGTGTTTTTGCACCATTAATGTTTCAAGTCGTATTTTCAGAATTCATATTTTTATTTCGCGTTTCAAGATATACAGGCTGTCCCGTTAAGCGTACGGAGCGGTTGTATCTCTAGAACGGTAAGGCCTAGAGGTTTGGGAAAAAAATCCTTATAAGCAAAGTGACCAAGAGAAATAGCTGGAAATTATTTTGAAGTTCGTAATTCGACCGCTAGGGGGCGTAACTGCCATTGAGAAACATAAAGTTCCCGCTATCTCAGAAACTTAGACGATGAGCTATAACTTTGACAACATCATTTAATAGCTTGGATAATACCGCATCGCTTTTGTTTTGCGATATTTCTCATATCTGTCATAATAAGGGAGGGGGAGGCCAATGCGTTTTCATATGTTTACATTTTAATATCTCCTAGACCATTCAACCGATTTGAATGTTTTCGGTGTTGTTTGAAAGAGCATTTTATGCTCTTTTTAAAGATATTTTCAGTAAGACCGTCTGCTTTAAAACAAATGAGCTAGAGGACGTTATCTGCAGCGATTACATATTTTTGTGATTTTTGAAGAAAAGTTAAATGGAACGATACTATTTACTTCACAGACCCTTAGTCACCTTAAAATTTGCTAAATTTTAGTGAAAACCGCATCTCGATATCGCCACCCGTTCTCGAGTTATAGAAGAAAATGTTAAAAACTCGAGTGCCATCAATCGGATCCAGTTACCTCATCGAGAAAAACAAATCACATTACCATGGTAACTGTAAACATGTCATTTACTAACGCAGAAGCGTATGATAGAGCGTATGATGATTTATTTTCAATGTTTCGAATACGATGCAACTGCATGGCAAAAATGTGCAATGCAATTACGACAAAGAAAGACATTTTTCTCTAGAAGTGTTTTTAAGATTGACTTAGCGATTACGGAAAACTGGCAACGTGTAGCCCATTCAGACATCTCTATGAATTCGTAAATCATATTGGTGCGCAATGTGATCCCACATAATCTGGGAACTCCGAAAACAATTGTCCACAAGAGTTCTCAAGAGAATAATATCTCCACCACGTTGTTTTACATCAGGCCTTAACAGATACCGATTATGATAACAGACTGAACTATTACCATTGACTTTTAAATATGATTTGGGCAAATCCAAACCTTTTATCACAAATGCTATGGATGCATGAAGCATCTGTCCACAAGCTGATGTAAACTTGCATAATATGCATTCTTGGTTCGAGCAAAACCCACATTGCTTTCACCCCTTTATCTATTGGGTAGACTAAACGACCTGACTTTTCAAGAAAAACCAATAACCAGGGAAAATATGACAAAACACTAAATACCAGTAGAAACGTGTCCAGGGCCGAGACTTAAGCAGCGCTTTTTTTTCGTCGAAACTAGATTAAATAAATGCATCGAGGTTTATGGAAGGCATTTCGCACATTAGTGAGTTATTTTTGCCAAAAATTTAAGTTATTCTAAGTGTTTTGGTTTATTTTGTTTTATTATCATTGTTGATGTTTCATTGATCCGTTGGCTTTTCAACACGCCTCAAAAGTAGTTTTGAAGCAGTTCTAAGCTTGGATAAAGTGTGAAGGAAGGTTCTAGATAATAAAATTTTTGTTCTCTCTTATTTGTTTCCTAAGGTAACTTGATCCGATTAAGATATACGAATTTTTAACATTTTCTTTTATAATTCGAGAATGGATGGAGATATCGAGATGCGGTTTTCACTAATATTTAGCAAATTTTATGGTGATTAACGGTCTGTGAAGTAAATAGTACCGTTCCATTTAACTTTTTTTCAAAAATCACAAAAATATGTAACCGCTGCAGATAACGCCCTCTAGCTTATTTGTTTTAAACCAAGCGGTCTTACTGAAAATATCTTTTAAAAGAGCATGAAATGCTCTTTCAAACAAGACCAAAAATATTCAAATCGGTTGAATGGTCCAGGAGATATTAAAATGTAAACATTTGAAAACGCATTGGCCTCCCCCTCCCTTATTATGACAGATATGAAAAATATTGCAAAACAAAAGCGATGCGGTATTATCCAAGCTACTAAATGATGTTGTCAACGTTATAGCTCATCGTCTAAGTTTCTGAGATAGCGGGAATTTTATGTTTCTCTATTGCAGTTACGCCCCCTAGCGGTCGAATTACGAACTTCAAAATAATTTCCAGCTATTTCTCTTGCCCACTTTGCTTATAAGGATTTTTTTCCCAAACCTCTAGGCCTTACCGTTATTGAGATACAGCCACTCCGTACGCTTAACGGGACACCCTGTATATCAGGAAAGTATGCACTAAAAACTTGCAAACATCAAAATTTTATAGAATTTTATGCACTAAAAATAGTTTTATTTCCATTGTATATTCTGAACAGAAATTTTTAATAGAAAAGAATTGATGCAAATATGGTTTAAAAGCAAGAATTATGAAATATGTTGATATGTATAGCCTAACAACCTTATAGCACCTTCAAATCTGGAAATATGTGGCTGTAAAATAATTTTAAAAACACTAGTGCGTTTTCACACCAGTGGGATAAATGGGTTAATGTTAATTTAAACTTAACAGGTTACTTAATAACTTCATAAGTAATTCACTTTCTAAGTTCTTGTACTTTTGGATCATCATCAACGATTTTTAAATCAGTTGATTATTATGATTCTGCGTAGCAAATTGTGTATTTAAATATATTATTTTTTAATCTAAGTTTATTGATGCGGAAATCCACCGAAATAAACAACCTTCTAACATCATGGCTTTTTCCAAAAACTCTTTGAACCCACCAATTACAAAATCGATAAACATAAAACCACAAGTTTTTACCTTCAATTTTTTTTTAATAAATTCCTTTCCTTAAACTTTAAACTCGACCAATTAACGAGCGCCAATATTTTCTTGATATTAAATTTCATTTTAAAGATGACGATTTTAAACTGACGTGCAATAATCAAATAAAGCTTAGTTATCTTTTTTCATTTTATAACAACCATTTAAAAAATCATTAATTTAAAAAAAAAGCGTATAACAATTTAATACGACCACACTACAGGATAACCTTGGACATGACCGAAATGATCGGTATATAAAAGAGGAGCCATGTGTCTTTTAGTCTTTAGCATTAACTATTTAGCACTCGTTGGGTCTTTTAAGTTGGAAAAAATAAAGATGAAGGTTTTTGTCGTTTTTTTATTGCTAAACGGTAGTGTTTTTACTGCAAAATTACGTAAGTTAATTTCATTAATTAAGAATATTAATTTATTTGATAAAATTTAGCATCTTTTGTAACTCCGTGTAAAAGAAGCGATGAAAATTTAATTGAGTGCGCCACAAACGAAGGAAGAAAAACTTTACCCCAAATTTTAAATGGTAAGAATCTTTTTATTATTTAAAATACAAAATAAAAATTTTTTTAAGGCGTTCCCGAATTAAAATTGCCGAATATGAAGCCATTAAAATTACCGGAAGTCAAATTGGATGTTGGTAAAAATCTAAAAATTAAATTAAACGATCTTGAAATTTTTGGATTGGAGAATAACGATTTGAAAATATTCGAGTAAGATTTTATTAAATTGTTTAATTTTCTTAAAATTAAGATTAGAATTAACAATTAACACGAAAATGTTTTAAAAACTCGTTGACCTAGACGATTATTCAAAAAAACCTGATTCAACTCAAAAAATATTCCATAAATCATTATAAACACCGTATTTTTGTTTCTATTTCCAGCATAAATGTTAACGAACGCAAGATTAACGTAAAAATTGAATTCTCTCGTTTAAATATTCTCTCTAAATATGATATAAACGGAAGGATTCTAGTTTTGCCTATAATCGGGAATGGACCAGCAAATATCACGTTTGGTAATCTCAATAATTATTTTTATTTATATTTATAATTTCCTTTTTATTTTAGTTGACCCAGAATTTCATTTTAAATCCGATTTAATTACAACAACAAAGAAATCGAAACAATACTTAAAAATGATTAACCCAAAAATATCGTACACATCAAAAAGGGAATATTACGTGTTAGATAATTTATTTAACGGTGATAAACGATTAGGCGATCAGATGAATAAGTTTTTGGATGAAAATTGGGACGAAGTTTCGAAAGAAATTGGCCCGGCAGTTACGGAAGTGATTAGCGCGATCGTTCAAATTATATCTAACGCGTTTTTCAACCGAATCACTATGGATGATCTTTTACCTAAATAAATTAAAGAATAACGAATTAAAAATTTATCAAAATTAGAATTATTTTAATAATAGTTAAATGTTGTGATGAAAATAATAATAAAAGAAGTAGTTAACCATTTTTGTATCAATATGTAATGTATCCATAACTTTTAGACGCATTGTCGTTGAATGGAGAGTGCACCGGAGATTGCCTCTGACGAGTGCAACAAAGAATACTTCAAATACAATGGAAACCGAAGCGTTTAATACTTAATCATTTCGTTCAAGATTAAAATCGTCTTAATGCAACAAATCCTCGATATAATGGATTAATACGAGGAACGCAGTGTCCGTTATGGCTCAATAAAAATATTCAACAATCTAGTATAACAAATAAAACTAGACTAGCACTAAAACTAACACTAGACCTAGAGCTAGAAACGTTCCGTTTAGCCGTGCGTCTCTCAAGATGAAAAAACTGAGTGTTTCTAATTCTAAGTTTAATGTTAGTCCAAGTGTCAGTGGTAGGTAGCACTAGTTAGCATAAGATGTTGCATATTTTTATTGAACTAAAACTAGAACTAACACAAGACCTAGAACTAGAATCATACGGGTTTAGCCGTCTTGAGAGACGTGCGGCTAAATCCGAATGTTTCTAGTTCTAGGTCTAACGTTAGTTCTAGTGATAGTGATAGGTAGAGCTAATTAGCACAAGATATCACTATGTTGCATATTTTTATTGAACTAAAACTAGAATTAACACTAGACCTAGAACTAGAAGCATTCGGGTTTAGCCGCACGTCTCTAAAGACGGCTAAACCCGAATGATTCTAGTTCTAGGTCTAGTGTTAGTTCTTGTGAATAACAATTAAAACTAGAATTAACACTAGACCTAGGACTAGAAACATTCGGATTTAGCCGTGTCTATTTGTCTAGTGTTAATTCTAGTTTTACACTAGCACTATCACTACAACTAACACAAAACCTATAACTAGAATCATTCGGGTTTAGCCGTCTTGAGAGACGTGCGGCTAAATCCGAATGTTTCTAGTTCTAGGTCTAATGTTAGTTCTAGTGATAGTGTCTGAAGACGCACGGCTAAACCTGAAACCTTCTAGTTCCATGTCTACTGTTAGTTCTAGTTTTAGACTAGCACTATCACCAGAACTAACATTAGACCTAGAACTAGAATCATTCGGGTTTAGCCGTCTTGAGGGACGTGCGGCTAAATCCGAATGTTTCTAGTTCTAGGTCTAATGTTAGTTCTAGTGATAGTGATAGGTAGCGCTAGTTAGCATAAGATATGCTTATGTTGCATATTTTTATAGAATTAAAACTAGAACTAACATTAGACCTCGAACTACAAAGTTTCAGTGCGTCTTCAGAGATGGTTGTTATAAAATGAAAAAAAGATAACTAAGGTTTATCTCATTATTGCGGGGCAGTTTAAAATCGTTATCTTAAAAATGAAATTTAATATCAAGAAAATATTGAAGCTCGTTAATTGGTGGAGTTTAAAGTTTAAGGAAAGGAATTTATGAAAAAAACATTGAAGGTAAAAACTTGTGGTTTTATGTTTATCGATTAATTGGTGGGTTCAAAGAGTTTTTGGAAAAAGCCAAGATGTTAAAAGATTGTTTATTTCGGTGGATTTCCGCATCAATAACGTTAGATTAAAAAATAATATTTAAATGCCATCTTATTGAAAAAAAATTGCTACGCAAAATCATAACAATCAATTGATTTAGAAATCGTTGATGATGATCCAAAAGTACAAGAACTTAGAAAGTGAATTTCTTATGACGTAAGTGACTTGTTAAGTTTAAAGTCACATTAAAAATAAAAACGGAAACACAAGCATTTCAGCATTTTGAATTCCAGATCACTTCTACAACTAAAGAGACTTAGCATTACCAAACGCCGAAGCGCTTTAGGTTGCAAGTATGTTGATAAAATCCCTAAAACCATCAGAACTCGTCCCTAAAAGAATCCCTAAATCCATCAACCAAGACTTTTAATGTACAATTAAACAAAAATTAATATTTTAGATCCTACTATCTTTAAGACTCTGTTTAATTCAAAAAAATGTAATTCCAAAATTTGATGATTTGAAGAAATCACCGTGAACACATTAAATACTAATTAAATTTGCTTATAAATGCTTGTTATTTCATGCTGATATCTCAATTCGTTCGTGAGATATGATTCCATAAAAGTTGTTATTTTTGAACCTAATATCCACTGGTATGGTTGAAACAAAAAAAAAATATTTCTTCGAAATTTGAAAATTTGAAGAAATGTTATAGAATATATTAAATATGATTTAAAATTCCTTCACAATGCTTTTTATCCCATGGCAATATCTCAACTAGTTCTTGATATATAACTTGTTAAAGATAGATGTTTTTCATTCCAACGTGTTTGATTATGGTTGAATTCAAAAAAACATATACTCAAAATTTAAACTGTTAAAACAATAAGCTTTAACATACTAAATATGAACTAAAGTTTACTACAAAATGCTTTTTATCTTATGGCATTATCTCAATCAGGTCTTAAGATATAACTTGTTAAAAATTCATGTTTTTCAACTCATTGTATATGAGTGTACTTGAAGTCAAAAAAACATTTACTCGAAATTGAAAGTTTTGAAGAAATAACCTTGAACATACTAAATATAAATTAAATGCTCTATAAATTGCTGTTTATCTCATGGCTTTAACTCAATTAGTTCTTGAGATATAATATTTTAAAGATTGATGTTTTTAAATCTTCTGTGTATATTTGTGTTTGTATTTAAACAATCATAATCTCGAAGTTTGAAAATACGAAGATATGGCATTAAACACACCGATTATGAATTAAATTTCCTATAAAATGCTTTTTATCTCGCGACAATATCTCAATTAGTTCTTAAGATATAACTTGTTAAAAATTCATGTTTTTCAACTCATTGTATATGAGTGTAATTGAAGTCAAAAAACCATTTATCCGAAATTGGAAGTTTTGAAGAAATGACCTTGAACGTACTAAATATAAATTAAATTTTCTATAAAATGCTTTTTATCTCATTGCATTAACTCAATTAGTTCTTGAGATATAATATTTTAAAGATTGATGTTTTTGAATCTTCTGTGTATGTTTGTGTTTGTATTTAAAAAATCATAACCTCGATGTTTGAAAATACGAAGATATGATATTGAACATACCGATTATGAATTAAATTTCCTACAAAATGCTTTTTATCTCATCACAATATCTCAATTCGTTCTTAAGATATAACTTGTTAAAAATTCATGTCTTTCAACTCAATGTATATGAGTATAATTGAAGTCAAAAAAACATTTGCTCGAAATTAGAAGTTTTGAAAAAATGATCTTGAACGTACTAAATATAAATTAAATTTTCTATAAAATGCTTTTTATCTCATTGCATTAACTCAATTAGTTCTTGAGATATAATATTTTAAAGATTGATGTTTTTGAATCTTCTGTGTATGTTTGTGTTTGTATTTAAAAAATCATAACCTCGATGTTTGAAAATACGAAGATATGATATTGAACATACCGATTATGAATTAAATTTCCTACAAAATGCTTTTTATCTCATCACAATATCTCAATTCGTTCTTAAGATATAACTTGTTAAAAATTCATGTCTTTCAACTCAATGTATATGAGTATAATTGAAGTCAAAAAAACATTTGCTCGAAATTAGAAGTTTTGAAAAAATGATCTTGAACGTACTAAATATAAATTAAATTTTCTATAAAATGCTTTTTATCTCATTGCATTAACTCAATTAGTTCTTGAGATATAATATTTTAAAAACTGATGTCTTTGAATCTTCTGCGCATGATTGTTATTGCATTCAAAAAATCATAACCTCGAAGTTTGAAAATATTAAGATATGACATTGAACATACTGATTGTGTATTAAATTTCCTATAAAACGTTTTTTATCTCAAGGCAATATCTTAATTAGTTCTTAAGATACAACTTGTTAAACATTCATGTCTTTCAACTCATTGTATATGAGTGTATTTGAAGTCAAAAAAACATGTACTCGAAATTGGAAGTTTTGAAGAAATGACCTTGAACGTATTAAATATAAATTTAATTTTCTATAAACTGCTTTTTATGTCATTGCATTAACTCAATTAGTTCTTGAGATATAATATTTTAAAAATTGATGTCTTGGAATCTTCTGTGTATGATTGTGATTGTATTCAAAAAATCATAACCTCGACGTTTGAAAATACGAAGATATGACATTAAACATACCGATTATGAATTAAATTTCCTATAAAATGTTTTTTATCTCATCACAATATCTCAATTAGTTCTTAAGATATAACTTGTTAAAAATTCATGTCTTTCAACTCATTGTATATGAGTGTAATTGAAGTCAAAAAGACATTTACTCGAAATTGTCTGAAGACGCACGGCTAAACCCGAAACGTTCTAGCTCTAGGTCTAATAAAAATAAAATAAAATAACACAAGACCTATAACTAGAATTATTTGGGTTAGCCGTCTTGAGAATCTTTCTAAGTCTTGTATTAATTCCACTTTTAATTATTATTCAGTGTTGGATTGTGGTATATCTTTATTGAACGAAAAGTAGAACTAACACTAGACCTTTAGTAACTTTTCCGTTGCAGTAGTTTCGTAACTATGGTTACTGCATTCATATATTACGAGTTATATGAAATTTCCGCATATAGGGTGTATCAATATATTAGGGTACATTTCTGATTATCCTAATATATACATTATCGTAATCCGATCATGAATACGCTTTCATAAAGCATTGTGTGTTGTAACTGAGATTGATTCAAACTCAAATTTCCCGATAAACTATCTATTTGGATTATGAAAATTTATTATATCATTATCAAAGTTTAAGTTTAATTTATCAAAGTACAACAACAAAATAAATAGATTTATTTCACAAGTATTGCGAGTGTTAGGAGTTTACTGAGTAAGTCGCATTTACGATTTACAATAATATTTATCGAATAAATTTATTTAAGAAAAGTCGCCTTTTAGCGTGCTCTCGACCGATGTGTAT